GGGGGGGGGGATGAGGGGGCAGGGGCGGGTGGGCAGGGGACGGAATCCGAAAGGGGATGCATGCGCGGCGGCGGTCAAGGCAGAGCGCGCTCGCGAGGCACTTGGGGGCGCCCAAAGCGCAGCACTGCTTGCGCGCAGCCCTCAGTCTGCGCCCTAGCCACACACACACACACACACACACACACACACACACACACACACAAACATGCAAGCGAACACGCATTTGCTTACATACCACACACGCACATGCACTCGTGTATGCCCGCCACCCACCCCTGAACCCCAGCCGGACGCGACACCACCCCAGCCCGTGCAGAACTCCGCTCGCCCTCCGGAGCGCCCGTGCTTGCCCACACACACACAGGACCCTGGCCCCGGTACGCCTCAGCCTCAGATCACCCTCAGATCAGCCTCAGATCGTGCTCACTGGTGTCGTCCTCCCCAAACGGCTCGAGGTAGTCCTCCGGCCGCGTGTAGCGCTCCCGCCAGTCGGGCCTCATGTCGGCCCAGCCGGTGACCAGCAGGGCGGCCCCTGGGGTGTTGAGCCCCAGTTCGTCAATGGCCTTGGCCGCGGCGTGGCGCAGGGTGTGGACCATCTGAGAGGGGGCGGTGTGTGTGTGTGTGTGTGTGTGTGTGTGTGTGTGTGTGTGTGTGTGTGTGTGCGTGTGTGAGTGTGCATATAAGGAAGTGCTTGTGGAATGCCTGCTCATTGTTCTGGGTTGTCATGGGGCGAGCAGGCTGGCCATGGATTGCTCAGTACCCAGTGTGCACTGGAGCAAGGGGTGGGGTTGCGGGACCAACGGCACTGGCGGGCACCCCGAGGTTCCAATCTCAAGGACCCCGCGCTGCCCCAAGCTTCAGCAGCCGCAGCACCCCAGCTGGAGCCTTCAGCCGGCTCAAATCCAGGTGGCAGCAGCACCATTAACGGCCTGTGGTAAACCCTCAACACAGCCGGTTGCAACCCCCTGCTGCGCCCCCTCGCCTTCTTGCTGATCCTGGGCGGGCTGTGCAGCTTGACGGTCAGGCCCGGCAGCGGCCTGGGCAGCGGCGGGACGGTGGTGAACGCCGCGTCTGGCTCCGAGGCGGACAGCAGTGTCAGGCGGCGGGAGATCTCCTCTGGGGGCAGCCCCGCCTGGGTTCGGGGGAATTGGGGGTTTGGCGAGACGGGTGGGCGGGTGGGGGGCAATATATTCTGAGGATGAGTGGGTCAGGAGGGAAGGATGTGTGTCGGGGGTGCGTCAAGAGCGCGTCTGGGGTACGTGGGGTACGCGATGGTGAAAGTGGGTGGGTCAAGCAGGCGGGTCTCTGCCCCTATG